ATGGTGGTTTCTAAGTCAATAATTTGGAGAAAGAAGGCAATTTTTCATATGTATAGTTTGGTGAAAGTGAAGCATCTAACAGTCAATTGGGGGGAAAGACACAAATTAAATTTAATATCTTAATTATTTCTCTGAAAAAGTCTGAGCGAGTGTGTATGTGTATAATATATATATATATATATATATGTGTGTGTGTGTGTGTGTGTGTGTGTGTGTGTGTGTGTGTGTGTGTGTGTGTGTGATTATAAATAGCATCAAGGCTTCATTGTGCATCCTTTGTTGATCATAAAGTAAAAAAGTGATATGAAATTAAAGACAGCCAATTTGTGGCACTGGGTTGTATTTAACCCAGCATTTTTTAGAGTGCACACACACAACCATAATTACATTTATTGTAATATTTTATTATTTTACTTTTTTCCTAAAACATGGAGGTCATTTGATTATTACTTAGTTAGAATCATGAAATGGTATTGGTATTGATAAAAGTTTGATATCATGACCACACTAAACGTAAGAACATGCAGCAACGCTTTAATCATTATTTTTGAGCCCTGCATGACATGACAACTCTAGTTTCAGAAAAAGGACGTGTGAAACAGAAGTGAGGCTCCGTTCTGACACCTCGCTGGAAGCCGCCGAGTGCTAAAGCCTAAACAAACACACGTGTGTGAGAGTGACACTGTTCCACCCCATCACTCTCACCCTCTCTATCTTCCCAGCATGCAGCGGGGCCTGACACCGCTCGTACCGCGCACAGAGCAGGACGGCTCATAATATGACCGCAGAAGGGTCATTCCACGCTCTGCAGAGCGATACGGTGACTTACTGCCAGTAGGTAGCAGCTGTTTACACTGACTGAGGGTTTGTTCTCGTGGTTCTTTTGAGGTTTTACTTCAAAAGATGACGTCGAGGTGTTAAGATGACATCACAAGCTTTTTAATAAAACATCTGGTTTTACATATCAAATTAGATAAATAGTTCACCCATAAATGAATACTGTCAGTCCTCACATACTCGCTCACATGTTGATCCAAACCCATGATTTTCCTTTTTTTATTTTTGCTGCTGCTTTTCCATAAATTATGAAAGCATAGAGTGACTAGAAGTTGCCAAGCTCCAAAAAGGACTAAACTATTTTTACACTTTATTTCCAGTGTTTGATTCCTTATGAGCGAATTTACCTTATATTTCAGTCTATTCCTCATGCAAAACTATTGAATAACTTGAAATATAGCACACAAATTGTATAAACTATTGTATAAACTTTTTTTGGCCTTTTTTTAAGTTAGATAGCCCATGTTCACTATATATTTTCAGTGTTATTTTTGTGTCATTGAGAGTTTTTATGAATATTCTGAATTAGATTTTTTATATATTTTTTCACTTTTACATGTTTGTAATTTTGTTGTTTTTTTAAGTTTTTTTTTTTAAGTTATTTATTTTTAAATACTGTTTTATACATTTTTATTTCAGTTTTAGTTTGTTATTTTAGTACATCAAGATGCATTAAATGAAAATTAGAAATGTTGCCTTGGCAAATATGCCAAATGGTATATGCTGTTATATTTTATTTCAATTAACATTTATTTAATTAACATAATTTTAATAGTTTTACATTAAGTTAACTATAATAACCCTGATACAGAAAATAGAAGCTCTTTTTCCCCCAAAATATCTCATTTTGTTTTCCATATGTCATATGTTTGGCCCGACATGAGGGTGAGTCAATGTTCATGAGTAAATTGTAATGCTGGAGTGAACTATCCCTTTAGGCTTTTCACTAAGTAAAAATTTTTTTTTTTTTTTTAAGACATCTACATTATATTGTGATACAGATCTAAACGCTAAGATGGACAGATGGGGAACACATGAAAGCATAATGAAAATATACAGCGAGATGGAAATTTTAATTAGATAAAAGAGTGTATCCCGAAATCCCAAAAGGCAAGTTGGCGATGGACAAAATAAAATATTCCTACCAAAGCAAACAATACCAAATGCCATTTCATACACTCTCAGCATGAAGACTTTTAATTTTCCACCATAAAATGTGAAACCTCTTGGATCTCTTCATGAGGTGCAGACAGACAGCACTGAAGTCTAAATCAAGATCTGACTGATGCATACCCACAATTACCCTGCTGTTTGAAACAGGGGCAAACTTCAACATTTGGTATCATTTAGAGCCCAGGCGATGTCACTGATGCACAACCGATCCACAGTCACAAATCCAACAAGATCTCAAAGGATATTACTGTGCAGCGATGCTTTAATCCAACCCTGTGTGTTAACATATAATTATAAGACTCAAGCAAATGCTTGTTTTGATAAAACGGTCAGAGTGAACTACAGGTTGCCTTGCCTTTACTGCCCTGAAATCCTCTGATGTTGGTGATCTGAGCCGAGTTGTGGAGGAATCGCATGCCTTTTGCATGGTGCGTTGGCAGTGTCCATGGAGTGGGCTCTGCTTTAGATTACCTTTGGGTTTTGAGCTATGAAAATGCAATTGCCACTTCAGCATAAGTTAAATCAGGTGGGAAGTGAGTAGTGAAGTCAGCGGCTACCGCTGCTTTGACAGCCTTCAAGAAAGGTAGACGCATTCAGGAAAAGACTAATTTTCTCACATGTAATTGCCAGTTCCAGGACATATAATGTGCTTTTTCCAGTCCTGTGATAGTATCGTTCGTGCTTTCTTCCATCCAAACACAGTTACCACAGTTTCTGTCAAACTAAAAGATACCCTAGTTATTGTAAATAATGTAAAGTCATTTAAAAAAAAATGTTTTGTACATTTCCTGAAGCAAATGTGAGTGAAAAACATACCTCTATGATGCTAAAGCATCTGCCAGGGCTTTGCAATGCAGTAGCAAAGGTGTTTTGAGTGGGGTTTTTTTTTGGTCTCACCTTAGTGTCTCTAATATGGAGATATTTACATGTACACTTCATTTGTTTTTACAAATTGGACATCTATCTACACTTGGACCAAGTGTAAATGACCTTCAAGGTGCATTTGAGATGCAATATAAGATGCAACTCAGCCAAGATTAAATGCATATGGTTTTTTAGGCCACGTATGTAAAATTTACTCCGCCCAAACAGAAATACACTAAAATGCAGAGGTTTGGAAGCCCCGTAATCTACATGAGCGAGCAATTATGAATGAAATATATGGATGAAGCAACTGCAGCTCTCCAACATTTATACATTACAGCATTGCCTTCATCAGGCACAATGATTAGCATCATCATGGAAGTAAATTTTTCTATCTGTATATAGCCAAGAGTAGATGAAATAGGATGATGCCTCGTTGAATGGAATCCGATCAGTTAGGTTACATGAAGCAAATAAGTCCATATTCTGATCACTCCTTCAATGCACAGTGGGAAAACAACACAGATTTTTCAATAAATTATGCTTGCATGTCGTGTAACTGGAGATTCCTCACAGAGAAAATTGTTCTGGAGGAAAAAGAATAGCGTGTTGGAGAAGGATTTCCATCTGAAGCGTGTTTGATTGCGTGTTTGGTGTGTTGATGTGTGGGGTGTGAGTGAGTCGATCGGGCCTTGCATGCGCTTAAGGTCGCAGGACATTTCATCCAGAATAGTGCAAACTTGCGGAAACAATCAAGGAAGGAGCCAAGTGCATGTTTGACTGGTCTTTTGCCCCACTGCCCACATAAAGACTGCAGACATAAATGCAGATGGTTTGAATTTGCAGTGAAAGAAATGTGTTGGACTGCTCAGAGATGGTGAAAGGGCTTCCTCAACAGGAAGTAGAGTAATTAAAACCCATGAGGCCAAGCGGCCCTGAGCTACCAGAGGAAAACCTCTCCTGTTTCGGCCTGTGTTCCAGTCTGATCTCCGTGCTCATATAAAGCAACATTATTCAGCTGCCAGCTAAACCTGACATACAGCCGTCACATGTGCTGGAAATCAGATGGAACTACAGCTTTTTTCACACCTACTTGACAGTTTGATAGACGGTGACCACTTGGTTTTTGTGAAATATTATCTTAAGCGTCTCATATTGTATCCAGCTGATGGTAGTGCTGCAGCTCAGCAGATGTTTGGCTGTAACCACACCAAGTCAAACGAATATGTTACCAATTGCAGCCAGCATCATTCAAGGTCATGTACGTAAAATTTAAGAATTAATTTTCTGAAACAAACAAACTTAATATGGTAGGCTGGTCTTCAACTGGTTTATCTGGTCAACTGACAAGTGCCTAAAACACCTCAAAAACCATCGAATACACCATGTTGACAGAAACCAGCAGTCTACAATAGACTGGTTTTATCTTTTTGTTTGTTTGTTTTTTCAGGGAAAATAAATGTTAAAGGTTCAATATAAACTATGCAAAATATGTAACACGATGTCTTATTTCCACTGACGATAAATTGCGACTAAGATAGCTAAAAACCGCGTCTTCTTATAAGTCTAGACAAGAACAAAAACAAACGTTTAAAATAAACTTAATATTGAAGGTAGAGCTACAACAATTAAAACCGCACGTGTAAACATGAGAGTGGAGTGTTAAAATCGTTTACTAACCTGTATTTTACAAATCTTGTCAAGTCGATAAACGCGGCAACTTTAATTTTCTCACAGCACGCGGAAGGATACAAATCAGGAGCGTCATTTAACGCGAGTATCCGCCCAGAAAACTAGTTCCGCAGCTACAGTGACGATTTCGACGACTTTACATCATACAAATTTTGTATGGAAGAATGGTAAGTTTTGTATGGTAAGTGCTTAAGCAAAAATGCAATTTTCTGCCCTTAATGTCATCGGAGCTTTGCTGAGGGATGAGTCGATTATCTGTGCTAATCGACAAAATGAGGTGAGGTTTTTTTCTAACTTGAAATATTCGTCTTGCAGTATGACACGATTAAACACAAGCGAAACATTACAAGCTTTATGAAAAAATATATATTTTATTAATAAGACACAGTATTGTTGTTCATTTCAAATATATGAAAATTCCAGACAGGGCTAGAGATACCTGAGACCTAAACGTGCTTATTTTGTTTGATGTATACAGTTTGCGGCAGTATGTATAGCCTATATCAACTGCAGAATGAGGCTAATTTTAATAGCTCAGCTTTATTAATTTCTCCACTAGGTGGGGCTGTGTGCTTAAATAGAATTGTTCTCAAGCCAATTCTAAAGAAATTACATTCTTAATGCTCATGTTTTTTTTTTCTCCTGTGGAGATTTACACACATTAATCATAATAAATACTAGGGTTAAAAAATCCTCTCTTAGATAAAGCACAAAATTATATTACTGTTTCACAAGCTAGCAAAAATAATTTATACAACATTAAATTTGAAAGGTTTATGCAGCAAGAATTGGACTTTAAATGAGGAGAATCATCATCCAACCCTGAAAAGTTGCAGAGAAACAGTGGCACAGTGTTTTTTTTTCTTTTCTAGACCGTCATAGATAGCGACACTAATAGAGGAGTTGATGTCACTACAGACAGACAGTAAACATAATGGCAATGGGAAGGCCTACACACAAGCATGACAGGAGTATTACAGGACCGAGTCAATGTCCTGAAGGCAAATTCTGCTCAATAACTGCTGAAGGAAAATGAGACATTGACACCAAGAGAAAGGTCACCACTTTAGCAGTTTTGCATATGATTATTAGAGTCACTGATTAGTGCATTTTCATTTGCCCAGCCGCTTGGCTACGTCCTGATAGGCCAGTTCAATCTCTCTGTCTGCCGCACAGGTGTTGGTGAATTCATCCCGGGCATAGGCGTTCTGCAGGTACCTCCAAACCCCACTGAACTCTGATGGGATCTCAAAGTTACGGTATTTCTTAGAAACCACCTGAATGTGGAAAGAAACATGATGCTAGTTTATGATCCAAACCAATCATCCTATAAGGATTTTAGCAAGTTGGGGCAAGTTGTTACATGTGGCTTATATGTTTTTAATTTTAATTTTATGCCAATTGTTTTACCTTTTCAATTTAGCCATTAATTAGTCTATAATACATTTTAAATGCAGATATGATGTGGAAGATGACTTTTTCTTATAGTTTAGGTAGAATTTTAGGCATTCTTCTCAAATCAGTGTCAATAAACTCTAGGGTCCCTTTGTGACAACTTGCCCCATATTTAATACATAGTGTGACGAAATGCCCCGATTTACAGTATGTTTTTCCTAGGCAATACTGGTAGGAATGTTCAAAAGGTGTGTGTCTGTGCTAAAATGTTGTAATTACAAACCACCTGAATGTGGGATGAAAAATAATGATGAAATGAAACAACTGAATCTGCCCATTTATAATCTAAACAAATCATCCTAAGAGTATTTTAATAAATGTTAGGTTGGGGCAAGTTATAACATGTGTATTACATGTTGTATTTTTATGCAATTCATTAACTGCGAATTGCAATTCGTCAAAAAGCAAAAACGTAAATGCATGATGCAAGGATTTATTGCAATTTGCTGTTTCATTTGTTTTGATTTATCCATTAATTTGCCTGTAATACATTTTAAATGCAGGTATGATGTGGAAGATGACTTTTTATTTTAATTTAGGTAATATTTCATATTTCAGAAAAGGTTTTCTTCTCAAATCAGTGTCAAAAAACTGCAGGATCCTGTTTCGACAACTTACCCCATGATGTGACAACATGCCCCTCTGGGGTTTTTTTTGTTTGTTTTTTTTTTCCTGGCCAGAAGTGGTGAGATTGTTCAAAAGACTTTAAAATCTGTGCAAAAATTAACTTTAAAATGTAAACCTACCCTGAGAATTATTAACTGCAATTAAAGGGACTGTTTTTAAACATTTCAGGAATCAGGAATGTTCGAAAGACTTTGACCCAGATGATACATTTAGGTTATAAAAACATTGAAAACATTTTGAAATGTTCCTAAAATGTGAAAATTTTAATTTTCTTGTCACGATTCTAATGTTATTCAAAAGTTGCAAAAACATTCTTTTTTTAATATTGTTAAAGGGGTCATATGATGCGATTTCAATTTTTCCTTTCCATGCCTAGAGCTGATCCGTGCTGGTCGCTGAGGGAATACATTAACTTCGCGCTGTGGTTCATCGGATCGACTTTCACCGTGGACGAAGCGGAGTCCAGCCCGGGGTCGTCACATGTGGTTGCCGCAAGCCCGCCGGCCACTCCTTCGTCGAATCCGCCAGCTGCGACGTTCTCAAGCCCGCCCCATTTCATTACACCAAATACACAAAATAATGTTCTTTTTAGCAACATCATATGACCCCTTTAAAAAGTCCAGTTTTCGTATCATAATTAAAACATTATTTAAAGATTATTAAAACATTTCTTACAAGATTCTATTAACTTGTTCACCCTAAATATAACATTTATTTTTATAATCTAATCACATTTTCTCTTAACATTATAAGAACGGATATTAAATAGCCTATTAATAATGTTATAAGAATGTTCCATTAACATTACTATAAGAACATTTTATCCTAACATATATATAATTTTGACAAAACATTGAAAGTTGTAAGAACGTTCCCTGTTAGCTGGAAAGGTGTGTGTCTGCGCAAAAACTGACGTTAAAAAGTAAATCCACCCCGAGAAACATTCACTGCAATAAAAAGAACGTTTTTGGAACTTTTCCTTTCAGTAATCACCACTATTTTATCTTGCACTAAATGATCAATTACAGCAGATCTCTCAGCGGTATGTCACCTTCACTATGTGCAGTTTGGGGAGGAGGTTGCAGTCTGCGAGCGTTAATTCATTGCCGTCCAAGTACTTGCGGTTGGAGCACTTCTCCTCCTCCGTACTATCGGCATCAATCTCGTCCGGCAGAAGGGAGTTCAGGAAGTTATCCAGTTTCTTTAGAGCTTTCAGTAGCCCCTTCTCCAGACCTGCACAGCCAAAAGTTTGATATGTGCTTCTGCTGAATGTTTTCATCTGAAGAAATACAGCGGCTTTAAGTCAAGACAATCCCTGTAAAGGCCTAGCGGAATGTGAATGAGCTCTGGATAACATGTGGCTCCATATTTCGCCGTTGACAACAGAGCATCCATAAAGAGCTGTAGATATTCCTTGAACCTGTCTAATAAGTCATAGAGCAGACGTTAAACTCACTTGCGTTGGCTCTTGGATTTGTGTTCTTGATGTAGGCTGAGAACTTTGCGAAGATGTCATTTCCCGCCGTGTTGGACTCCTTGTTCTTCACAGCCAGTTTTGGATACCTTAGGACGTGAACGAAAAATATTGCTGCTCACATTACATAAACAATCAATCCATCTGTGAACATCCTGTCAACCTACTTGGGAGGCGCTAGCATCTCTTCCAAGAATTCCTCGACTTTGTTGACATCTGTCCGCACTTCGCCATTGAAGGTAAGGAATGGTGGAGGAGTACCGGGAGCCAGATTATGAAGATCAGCTGGTTTCCTTGAAGAAAATGGAAAATTTTAGATTTTTGTTGCACATTCACATCTGAGTTTGATCATTACATAACACAGCCAATTAAAGCCAATGAAAATGCTTGATAAGCATGGGTTACTTTGCTTTGTTAATGTATTTCTAGTTGAAACAGGACATTTGGGTGGGACATCTATCTAAAGCTAACAGACTTTAAATGAAAGCCACAAAATTTTGATCCATGTGGTTTCTAACAGCAACGCATATTTTAAGTACAATTCGTTACCTTTTCAGGTCGACAGTGGTGACGTTGAACACGACTCCCTTCAGCCACAGGATCATAAAAAGCCTTTGAGAAAAAGGACAGTTTCCAATACTTTCTCCATCACTGCCAGCCTGAGGAACACAAACTGATAAATCAGTATTAAACTCAATACATCACATCATATAAGTACAATACCATGGTACCACCACAGTATTTTTGTTTTTTAGTGTAGGCAAGGTCTTGAAAATATTATGAATAAATTAAATATTATATAAGATTATTCATGTGTATTCAACATATTTCAACGTATTTCAAGAAAATTATATAACATTAATGTGTGAGTATATACAAAATACTGTTGAATAATTGTAAAATAATTTTACAATTATTCAACTTATTACAGTCATTAAATGTTAGAAAATGTTAGGATCACAGGTTCCAAAAAAAAAAAAAATCAAGCAGCAAAAACTGTTTCCAACATTGAAAATAAATCAGCATATTAGAATGATTTCTGAAGGATCATGTGACACTGAAGACTGGAGTAATGATGCTGAAAATTCAGCTTTGCATCACAAGAATAAATTCTATTTTAAAGTATATTAAAATAGAAAACATGCATTTTCTAAAAAAGCCAAAAACCCAGACATGCATGTTAGTGTCATTAGGGCAAAAGTGAAATTATGAAATCCCTGAAAGTCATTCGCCATTCAGTGCATGATTTGTAATCTTCAATACAATAGCAGACACTACAAAGAACCGATGGGGATTCAGTGCCAAATTTCCACATCTGAAATTAGGCGATCAAGCTATCCAATAGTGTCCTTAAACTGGGCCAGTAACCTGAGCCGGACATCAGATCCACGCTTAAGCTGAATTATGCATGGAAATTCCATTATCTGCCCCACGAGCCCACAGCAAAGGGGTTTGGGTCATACTGTACCTGTCAACACAACTATGAGTTAGACACCACCCTCGCCACCTAAAATTAATGTGTTTAGCACTTAACTATGCTGGGATAAAATGCATAGAGGTTAGTTTTCAAACGGTCAACGCTTGATTGGCTCAGATGGAATGTCGAGTTATTGCTGATGTTACACCTGAGGCTCTGCTCACACGCAGAGATGTTTACAGTATGTGATATGCAAGATCTTTCAATCTGACATCACTCAATCCACCTTCCCATGGGATAAAGTATATTCAGAACAGGGACTGAATATAATGTTATTATTCAAATGGGTTATTTTGGTCAAACAGATATTCATAGTGTTTTATGACTCTCTGTGCATTGGATTTCTGAGTTTTGTCCATGCAAAACTCTTGAAAATAAAGGTTCTTTATTGGAATCTATGGTTCCATGAAGAAGCTTTAACACGCATAGAATCTTTCCATTGCACAAAGGGTTCTTTATAATGGAAAAAGGTGGTTTAGATCATTAAAATGTTCATTGAAAAGTTCTTTGAGTTCTTTTATGGCATTTGCTTTTGGAACATTTCTTTTTTTAAAGTGTAGGTGGATAGTTTAACCTAAAAATTATAATTCTATTTCTTTCTTCTGTATAGAGGACTAAGAATGCTGGTAACCAAACAGTTGACGGTAGCCACTGGCTTCCATAGTATGACAAAAAAGTACTGTGGAAGTCAATGGTTACAGGCAACTGTTTGGTTACAAAACATTCTTTAAAATATCTTCTTTTGTGTTCAACAGAAGAAAGAAACTCATACAAGTCGAAGGTGAGTGAATTATACATGTCTGTAACACCGTATGTGAAATGTTATAATAAAAACATCACTAATAAGGTCATATATCAATAGTCAGCAAGCAGTAAACAGTTTTTCAACCCCTCTGCATTTACTGTCACTATTAGCTCTATTAATAACTTTGACGCCACGTGGAAGAAATACAGCATCTGGCCTTCTGCGATTATGACGATTCTTTGATTTATAAAGCTTTTATAATGTTTTTATCAACATTTCACCCTCATTCTTTCAGCTGTTAACGTTCTCTAAACATCATCACATTTAAAAAACAAAAAAAACAATGCAAAACAAACCACAGAAAGCAGCAGAAGAAAGGAGACACTTGAACACAGAGGAATGAAGAGTGTGAGCTGTTGATAGAATTGAAGAAATAATTCAACAGCAACCTGGAGTTTCTGCTCTAAAATGTTACTGTCCCGGGCCAAACGCCCATCTTAACCTCAAACGAAACTGCTAAAACTGTCAGAAAGCTTTTAAAAGTAATGTCAGCATCGATTCCTGACTATTGATGCAGTGTGCAACACACAAACACAGCCAGAGAGCTTAGACCCACTGGTCATTAAAGCTTATCATCATGCTTACCTTCACGAAAAGCTCAATATCAGGATCTTTGTCCTCCTCATTTGAGGTCATATCGCTGAAGCTCACTCCAAATCAGAGGCTGATGGAGAATTATGAATATGTAATCTCTTTTCCTTGGATGTGGGAGTCTGTTATGTGTCCGGCGGGGTGTCGTGATGGTGTCGGCGCTGTAACAGGTCGGTGGAGGTACGGTGCTTGTTTTGATTTGGCCCCTGCGGTCAGCTGTCAGTGAGAGCCGCTCTGACTGTCATAGGAGGGCCAAAAATAGACTCCACGCGGCGCAGGAGCACTAGGGAGGAGTTCAGTGTCACCTACACCAGCTCAGTGTCGCTTGGGTCCTTTATAGAAATATGATGAATCATATTTCACTCCTTCCTGTTAAAACCTGAGTCACGAATCACTGACCTCTCACAGCGCTGGCGCGAAAATCCAAACTGGCTTTAGTAGTTTTTCCTTACTAACATCACTATTTTTGCTCATTATCTTGGTGTTTAAGTGATTTTTAGTGGAATGGCAGATGTAGTGTACAGTAAGTAACACGTTTAATTGGGTCACTCTCTCTCAGGCCCCAGTTCCTGCCGGTCGGGCTTCATAATCAGCTGGCGGTTCAGTTTGGGAGGGTTATGGGTAAACCATTCCAGTAAGTTCTCTCTAAATATAGAGCCGTAGCCTCCCTGAACACTCATTTACACATGATTACTGACCTCAGGACTGTACAGTAACAGTCGCACACTAAACTGACATTTTTTTTTTTTCACACAACAGTTAAGCAGATAAGTATTTGTGGTACGTCATATTAGATTAGGCACATTGAAATGTTCTAAGTTTTATATATACATCACCATTTAAAATGTTTGGGTCATTAAATGTATTATTTTTAAAGAAATTAACACTTTTATTCAGCAAGAATGCATTAAATTGATCAAAAGTGATGGTAAATACATTTTTTAAATTATGTCAAATAATTTAATAAAACTATACATATGACCATAGGTCTATTAAATGTATTTTTTTTTCTATTAAATGCTTTTATTTAGCAAACTGAATTTTAAATGTATCAAAATTGACTACAGACTTTTAAAAACTAAAGAAATTCTATTTCAAATGAATGCCGTTATTTTGGTGTTGCTTTATATTCAATAAAAAATCCTTAAAAAAATATAAATAAAAATAGCCTGTGCCCCAACTGTATTCAACGTTGATAATAATAAGAAATGATCATATTTAAGAATTGATAATAACCAAATCAGCATATTAGAATGATTTCTGAAGGATCATGTGACACTCAAGACTGGAGTAATGATGCTGAAAATTCAGCTTTGCATCACAAGAATAAATTACAATTTAATATATATTAAAATAGAAAACAGTTATGGTAAATTGTAATAATATTTCACAATATTACTGTTTGTATTGTATTTTTAATCAAATAAATGCAGCCTTGGTGAACAGAAGAGATTCAAAAACAATTTAACAAATTTTGAATAGCAGCATTTCACACACACACACACACACACA